TAATATATTAACAGAAATTAATCTAAGAGATCAGAGCATAAGCCTTAAAAGTAATATCTATATTCTAAGAATAAGACTAGACTTAGTGCTAAGATAATAAGTATATATGTAAGCAGTTAAAGCAAAATTAGTCTATATAATTAGTACCCTTTATATAATTATAGACTTAATATAAGGAAGCTTCTTAGAGATAAGCAAACAAGTATATATAACTACTATCTGCCTAATAATTATATATGTAGCTAGTATATAGCACACTTCTTAAGGAGTTAAAGGCTATCAGAAAAAAATTAGAGTAAAGCTCTAAAAGATCTAAGAAAAGTGCCTTTGCATAATTACAGGAGCGTATAAGGCTACCTTAACAGAGGCTCTAGAGGTAAAGATCTTTACTTTACTACTAGATTTTTACACTAAGAGACTAGCGATCAGGGTAATTACCAGAATCTGTATAACAAAAGCAGCAACTAGCATTAAGGAAATATATAAATAAATCTGCAGGCAAATAACAGACAAAAAAGGGAGAATAGTAATCTCTTAAAACTCCCTAGCAGATTATATAAACACCTAGGCAGACCAGTTCACATCTGAACCCTAGGAGGCCTAATAGACAAAGAAGACCTTGCTTTTATAAAAAAAGAATTAAGAATAATATTATAATAAAAGGCTCTTAAAGTTATATAAAAGACTTACTTTGTATTATAATAAAAGATGAAAAGACTATTAGAAATCTAGCAAAAAGGACGCTTATTTAAGAAATTAGTAGTTGCACCTAATAGAACGTATAATAAAGGCGTATATAGGTCTTAAGAAATATAAAAACGCTTTACTAACACAACTTTATATAGGCAAAATAGGCTTTAACGTCTTCCTATATAAAATAAAAGTTCCTAACATCTTGAGTCTAAACTATAACTACTTAAGAAAAGAAAACATAACAGTAAAACACGTTTTACTGAACTGTCTTAAGTGGTCTACAAAGAGGGAAGAGCTTATACATCCCCTCTGTATAACCGACATTAAGGAAATCCTGACCTCTAAGAAGGGGTCAAAGGCAGCCATCAGGATGATCCAGCGTACGAAGATCCTGGACCAGTTCAGAAGGGCCGTTAACTAAGATGTAGAACAACGTCTACAAGGGTTAAGCAGAAATTAGGAAGAGGAAAAGGACAGAATAAAGAAAGAGGATAGAATAGAGGAAGAAGAAGGGAGAAGAAGAGAAATAAAGAAGAGAGGACTATATAAGTAGCAAGAAAAGATTAATAAGCAGACCTATATAAGCTTTTTAGTCTAGATTAAGTTAATAGAATTTACTATTAACGTGGTTTATAATTGTCCTACGTATATAATCGTCCTGCGTACTTTTCTTCTAAATCATAACCTTTGAACTATTATATGCTACTACAACACAACAATATAATGAATTCTCAATCTTAGGAAGCCAGAATTCTCTTTGTTATCTAGGCTATTTATACTAACTAAGAAATATTGATCTAACGTATTACAAAGATATATAACGTCTCTTAAACTACCCTCTGTAATTATATAAAGAGCTGTACCTCAAAGGCTAAAGAGCGTAATGCTTGACACATTTTGACTCTGACTGAAGAAGAGACGCTTGTATAATATATCCTTGACCTGGATTCGCGAGGATTCCCACCCTGGATTAACAACATATAAGATATAGCCAACCTTCTTCGCAAGACATGTTATACAAAGCCTATTAGTAAGCAGTGGCTATATAACTTTGTATAATACTGCCCTAAGCTTAAGA